ATGCGTCGGGTGCGCCTACGTGCGAAAGCAATGATTGCGCCGCACATGTTACATATCACTGCAATGTTGGAGTGAGAGCAATAATTTTAGAGCAATCAATCACTGATAACACTAAACTGATGAGCAGTAAAAGCTTTTAAATTGTCGCCTATGGCTAGTTTTGGTTGTGGTAGTTTTTTGCGATTTCGCAGGCACATGCAATTTTAAAGCTTGACATGTTTGCTGTCTTATTTACCCGACGTGACTCCGTCTTTTATATTGTACCCAAAAATTGGGTAATGTTTTACAACCATAAGTAGGGAAAACAGGGTTTTTTTGGGGGGAGGGGGTTCCAAAATTTTCGGTAATTTTTTCTTATAGTAAAAAATAACCCCTGTGGTTATTAAATACCACCAAAAAAGCTCTATCTGTCCCCAAAAAATAGTATAACATTAATTTCAGTACAGCGTTGCATGACTGAATAAATGTGAGTCTCAAAGTACTGTACCACTAAATAGTGAAAAATAGCTTGGCCAGGAAGGTAGGATGGTATTTATTTTTTTATCCGATTTAATCGTAAAAAAATCACCAACTAATCGATTTATGAAAATAATCAATAGTTGCAGCCCTACATTTGACCTGCTGTTGGCTTCCAATCTGCATCAGGCTGTTTTTTATCATTAGTTTGTATGGGGAGAAAAGCAGTGAAGCAAACAAAAACCTATGTATACAGTCCCTTATTTTACCAGCTTGCTCATCTTGAAGCCCTCTAACAGTCTTCCCTCATTTACTGATTGTGTTGATGATTTGCTAAATAACATCTGCATATTTGCATGGCTGGCTTGCTTTACTAGTATGTTACCTTGACCCTATGAATCATTGTACTTTGAATCAAACAGATTGGTGAAGTTGCCAAGTTTTTTCAGTTACACAAGACACACCTTAATTAGTAGAGCTAAGTTGCATTTGTAAATTCCTGTGGGGATTATTGTCATACGCTAAATTGCAGGAAAACACATTTGGTTTTCGTGCACTGCCATTGAAGTCTGTAGTGTAATAAATGCAAACTGATGCTCCAAAAATGCACCGTTTGCTATTTTTCCCAATACGCAGTAGCTTCCTGGTGTGAATTAGCCCCCATAGAAAAGAATGGAAAGGTGTGTTTGACAACCTGCATTAAAGGTGAACTATGGGGCAATGTTTTCTTCCCATTAACGTCTTCATCATGAGAGATGGAATCTCCTCCCCAAACCACAGGAAACACGTCACCCAACTAGCCATTAAAAGGCCAGCCTCTTCTCCTGTCCCTCGGCCTTTGTGTTTCCTCGGTCAAACTGGGGAGCGCGTCACTGGAACGCTGGGGAAACCTCCATGTGGCAACGGTTTGCCCTGGGTTTTCCCTCTTTGAGTGGATCTGCCTGACTGTCTGTATGGGCTCATCAGAGATCAATTGTAGGTTTTGGAACCATTTAGTCCTCCTAGCAAGGCAGGGGGTATGCTGGCTTCCTTTCCTCCTTCGGTGCCCATCAAGGGCCGGGACTGGAATGATGGAGCTCCCTTGACTGGCTCACGAGTGACTGCCAGTCAGAGGGGTTTGTTCATTCTTTGTGGCTTCGGGATGTATTCCGCAGCCAGACTGGTTGGCTGTGCACGTCACTTCGAGTGCCAGTGACGTCATTTCCGGGCGGCGAGGCTAATCCGTTTCAACCCTTGCTTTCGGCGCAGGGGGAAGGGGAGGGCCTTGCTTGTCATATTCAGCGCAGCTCTCAGTAGTGCCTGAGAAAACGCCAGTGGTATTTGTCTGTCAGCACGCTCCGCTAGATTCGGCTTTACCTCTGCAGTCGTGTACAACACCAGATACCGGTCATTCTGGCAGCAGCCCAGCTCAGGTATGGTGGATTTTGTTTGCAGTCTCACCTCCCTGTTTCCTCTGACCTTTGTCCCTTGGTGTAGGGCGCCTTGGTGTTGAGGCGCACCCTTAACTTAAGGTTGAGTTAGTAGATCTTATTCCTCGTTGGTTCTCTTTTGGCAGACTAAGGCTTCAGATAAAACTAAGGTGGCATCTAAGAAGAAGTGCGCTGTTTACGCAATCAAGCGAAGCTCCAGTTATGCAAAACCTTTGTGTCAAAAGTGTATTGACAATCTCTTTAAAGAGGAATCCACCTCAGCTTGCAGTAATCTCTTGGCTAGGGTTAAGGAGGAATTGTCTTTTACTTTTCAATCTTTTAGATTGATATTGGAGGGTTTTAAACCTAGTACCAGTACCGTTCAATTGCCCACTCCTATAGGTTCTGGTCCTGTGAAGTCTTTAGGAGTGTCTGAGCAGGAGGATCTAAGTGAACCAGGTCCCTCCTATAATGTATTAGTCATCAGAGGATTTAAGTACCCAAGATGGCGCTTCCAGTGCTTTCAGGTATAAGTTATCTTTAGAAGATGTAGATGACTTACTGCCATTGGTAGTACTTTGGAAATACAAGAAGAACGTGTCGGCTATCCAGACACGATCTCATGTATCGGGGATTACAACAAAAGAAGTCTATAGTTTTTCCTGCACTTAAAATTCTTTTAGAACCAATTGTTAGAGAATGGGCAGACCCAGAAAAGAAGCCTCAGGTCTAGCAATCTCAAGTGGAGGTTTCCTTTTGATGACTACCCCGCTTTAGTTTGGAACAAGACTCCCACATGGGATGCTCCTTTTGGCTAAAGTTTCCCAAAAAATCTGATTAGTCTTCCAGGACAGCAGCTGCCCACCCATTAATGCTTATTGTTTTGAGGTTTTTGGTGGTGTTGTCTGTTTTTTTTTCTTTTTTCCAGTTTTTTTTTCGGTTCTCATGATGACTGGGGACTGGAGAGGAGACGGGCCTTTTAAAGGCTAGTTGGGTGACGTGTAGGGCTGCAGCTAACGATTATTTTCATAATCGATTAGTTAACTTTGATTAATCGGATTAAATAAAAATGTATATTGTCCATTTATTTAAAATAAAATACACAAATGCAGTGCTGCAGACAAAGTTTACTTCAGAATAAACCGGTATGCACATTTTTTAAAATCGCACTGCACTGGAATGCAGGGAATTGCAGTACCGTGCCTTCCAGTGCGGGCGATCACAATACGGACAGTAGGTGCATTTAGGATCCATTGAAATGAATGGCAGCGCAACGCACCTCCTGCAGCAAAATTTGTCAGGCTGAAAATGACTTTTCCCACCTTATTATATATAAAATTGTATGTATTAGAATATACATTTTAATTAGTTTCATGGATTTTTAAAAATGTGAATTGTAAAATAAGAAGAAAAAAAAAACTTATTTCGAAAATGACACACCCCAAACAATATTTTTATTTTTTTTAACTTTTTTATTTTTTAAACTTTTTTTTTTTTATTGCTGGAAGCAATAGCCAGCCTATTGCATTTTAAAATATCCAATAGCAGGCTGGGTATGGCTCCCAGCCCTTTAGATGCAGAGGAGAGGTGGGGCTGAGGAGGAACGGGCCGGGGAAGAGGAGACATGGGGCGGCAGTGCAGGTACGGAGGGCAGCGGGGGGAAGCCAGCACCAGCGGGGAGGAGAACGGAGGAGCAGTGCGGCGGCAACTAATCGGAAATCAACGAATTGATTACAATCGTTGCCAACACTTCTCATTATTGAATATAATCAATTTAATTAGTTGTTGCAGCCCTAGTGACGTGTTTCCTGTGGTTTGGGGAGGAGATTCCATCTCTCATGATGCTGTCCTGGAAGACTATTGGAAATAGAGTTACCGGTAAGTTCTAACTCTGGATTTTTCCCATAGTTCTCCTCAGGGTCACGGTAAGACATATACCAACATTTTAAATGATTAAAAATGCTTACTGATAGCTGTGTAATATATTTTATTTAATAAAATCCCATACTGATGTATTTACTAACCAACTGTGGTGGACTAATGATGTGTAAGACTGTCTAAACTGCCTGTTGCTGTTCAAAAGTGCAGATTTTCAAGACTCTCTCTTTTTTTCCCCTGGAAGCTATTCTCCTCCCATTGGAGCAGCAGATGCTTAGATCCTGAATGTTTGTGTATTGGACCAGAAATGCCTTGGAAATTGTTTATGGTTTGGATGGTGATGCATTTCTCAAAGTATATTTAAATACAAAAATGTAATATATTGCAGCTTACCATTTCTTAGATGTGACAGTTGTCTTAGTTCTGTAAAAACAGAAAATACCTATTGATCCTGTCAGAAATCTTATGTTCTTTATAATTTCTGATGGATTGAACTCAAATCTCAAACAATGTTATTGGCTTTCATAGCTATTGTTTGTAAACTACAGAACAACTCTGTGTGTAATGAAGATGAGGAGAGGAGGAGGTGTTTGTAGTCCAAATCATGAGTCACTGTCATCCTAGGGCAGGAAGTATGTTGTTGGTAGAATCACCAAGCAAAAAAAAGCTTAAACAATAAAAAAAACTAATGCAGCTGTCACATCTTAATGGTAAGCTGCAATATTTACTGTATATTACATTGTTGTTTTTGTATTTAGGTATGCATTGTTGTGCATACCCATAAGAAAATATGGGTAGATAGAAAAAGGGTGAGCTAGAGATGGGAGTGTTTTTCTTATCATTTTTTAGGCTACTGCCAAGGCAACGTAAAGGTGAGCTTATTCATTTCAAAATCACAAAAGGGATACTTGAGTCCATCCCAACCACATAAACCCATCAAGCTTACATTTGATATAAGACAAGATCTGTAGAGTGGGTCAAGCAGACCTGGTCTCTTAAAAGAAAAACGCAAGTAGGTATCGATGAGGAGAATTTAGTATGAATTGAATGAGGCCATAAACTACCATTCTGGATCAACATCTAGTAAAGGTGTGGATTTTTTTGTTTTATTTATTATTATTATTATTATTATTATTATTATTATTATTATTATTTTGTTCACATGTGTTCATATCTTATGCTGTTCCATGTAGTTTATTGATCACATTTTTTTTAAAACTAAATAATAATGATGATGCATGTATTTGTATCTTTCAGGAACTTACAGGCAGCAATCGGGGCATATTATGACTTTGAGAGTCCAAATGTCAATATCCCTTGCATGTCTTTTGTAGAAGATGTAACCATTGGTGAAGGAGAGTCTGTGCCTCCGGACACCCAGTTTACCAAAACCTGGAGAGTTCAAAACACAGGTAACTCATTTAGCCTATGATTACACTGGGGAACACATTTTTTGTTGCATTGATATCAGCACTTGTTTTTACCTAATTTGAGTGTACTGAATTCAAATCTGAAATTAGTTTTTCTCTGTAAGCTCTAGATTTTTTGGAATTCAACATTCTTATTTTTCCCAATATCTGAGAAAATTATGGTCATGCAGTCTTTAAAATTGGGCTTAAACAACAGTTTTGGCAAAGATATTCTTTATGTATTCACAAAAACATGCAAGTGCATCACAATCTGCATACATTTTGAAAAAGGACCAAAAAAAATCACTTGTGTGGAGTAAAATATGTATCACCACATGAGGTCTTGATAGAAGCGCTCTCCCTGCCTATCACTAACAGCCCCAAGGTACTCGGGGAATTGATCAATGTGACTATTCAGAAAATGGAGCTCGACACTCATGTTGCACCCGAGAGTGAAAAAACCCAACAGCGTTCTAGTAATGAGAACCTCATAGTTATCTGCCTTTTTGTTACCAAGAATGTTTTGTATAACTGCCACAAAAGACAGCCATGCTGCCGCCTTCTTGTCATTTATCTTCCTGACGCACTCCTCATGAAAAATCTTTGCTTTTTCTGCAACCTCAGCACTAAATGAATGGAAAGCACTCAGTACAGAGGCTTCCCATTCATTCGGAATCTGTAGGTAATAAAACATTTACTTTCAACCAGTTATGAATGGATAGAAGCCTCTATACAGAGTGCTTCCACCCATTGAGAAACTCATGAATGAATAGGAAGTGATGTAAAGAACTTCTTGTTGATTCATATTTAGGGACACCTAGTACTACGTGTCCCTAGTTGTTTACAAACACTGGAGTGATCAGCTGACCACTCCAGTGTTTGTTCTGCACATATATTTATTGATCCTCCCGCTCTCCATCCTGATCAGCTCGGCACGCACAGGCAGAGCCACCGGCGATCCTGAATCTGACAGCTGGCGGCTCTGCTCACCACTCAGCCATCTTGAATGTCATGGCTCCCTACTCCGCACAGTATATGACCTCCTGTAACCCTGAGGAGAACTATGGGCAAAAAAAGGTTGCCCCACAGTTCTCTTTTAAAGAACAACCTTATTAAAGGTAAAGTTCTGTAGTGAGGGTTTTTTTTAATGCAGTTTTTAAGAATGTACTTAGTTCAAGCTAGTTAACCTATCTTGTTGTTGAGCAGCATTTGAAACCTGGAAAGGGATATTTTTTTGTTGACTTGCATAATTAGTTTTAAGTTTTTCAATTATTTGTTTTTTTTTGTCTTTTTCTAGGATCCGAGGCATGGCCACCAGGTGTATGTCTGCGGTATGTGGGAGGTGATCAGTTTGGCCATGTAAACATGGTATTGGTGCGTTCTTTAGACACACAGGAGATGACAGATGTCAGTGTGCCAATGTGCAGCCCTAATCAGCCTGGCATGTATCAGGGCCAGTGGAGAATGTGTACTGCAACTGGCTTGTATTTTGGAGGTGAGAAAATAAGTTGTTTTTTTTCCTGTCTTCATTCTCTACTAATCCAACACATTGTAAAGCTTAACTCCAGACTCAAAAACAATTAAACATTTTTTTTATTAGATTCAAAGTGTCTAAATCTGATTCGGGGGCACCAGAAGCCTTTGCAAACCCAAATATTTTCTTGTAAAAGTAGTGGTGACATTATTACTTTGTTACACATAGCCCATGCAGGAAGCAGAACTGTGAAGGGGTCCTCGGGTCCACGCACTACAGGTCTCTTTATCATCCATTGCAAACACAGGAATGTCGTAATTCTTAGACATTTAGGTTATACTGTCACCTTTTATGAGGACACTGGCAGGTAAACACTGTCAAGCCAGCCCCTGTATAACCTTACCTCCAACCGACATGCCTCAGATTCTGCTAGTTTCCTAGGAGGTTAGATTTGCTAGCTTTTTCAATTTATTTCGACAACCAAGATAGTCTGTAGATCTTTTTCTTTTTTCGGTGACTTCTTCAAGACTTCTTCTTCAGCAAAAATGCTGCTTGACCTAGTCTCTACACAGCAGCTAAACTGATCGGTGTAGCCTCAGCAAATGCCTCAGAGGCTGTATCTGGACCATGCTGGACTGAAAAAATGCTGGGTTAGCCTGGAATGTGACCTTCAGACACTAGGCTCTGGATTGTGGCACTTTCTAGATTGTACATTTGTGTCAGCAACAGAATGCTTTCCAGGCCCAGAGCTGTGGCGCAGCCTTTAGTGTGACCTAATCTCTGAAGACCAATGCAGTGAGTAGGCCTCTGGTTGTGACGAGACTATCCTCGAATGAGACATTTGGGCATTGGGTTGTACAAGTGACCTTTGTATTAGCTGCAGAGTGCTCTACAGTTCTGGAGCCAAGGCACAGACTTTGAAGTGACCCAGTCTTTGAGGACTCAAATATTGGGTTAGGTCTGCTGGGCTGAAACATTGGGAACTACCTCACAATTGTCAAAAAATTCCCACCAATGCCATTTTACATCGTTAATGGCCAAGACTGAGCGCTGACATCATCAGCTAGGTGAGGTGTTGTGTTCTCTTGATCCTGACATCTATTGTGCTTTGGTGCCACCTACGACAGAATCAGTTTCTGAACCTACTTGACCCCACCTGTGTGCCTAAAGCTCCTATTACTATCTCTGATAAAGAATCCTCACAGCCTTCTAACAAAGAGCCTGTATTTTAGCAAGTTCCATATGATTCAGATTTACATGGAGTTTTTGCTAATTGGATGGATGCAGTGCATTCTATACTACAGGTGGAGGATAAGGCTGTTGTTCCAGTATTAGTCTTTTAGATCTATTATAGATGCAAAAATCTTCTCACTACACTCTGTATCTAAATGGAAATAACCTTTCAATTATGGCGTTCTACTGACCATGTGAACTGGGTTTTTTTCCTTTGAAAGGGGATTTATTGACAAGTGGTCTCTGCCTACTGTAGATGCTCCTGTCATCAACCTTAACAAACATACTACCCATGGAACCCCTGGATAGAGTATTTGTTTCCTACTGCTTTCCAACATACCTGTATCCCCATCTGATAGTAACTGCATGTAGTTTAATAAGGGCACCAGAGGGATAGACATAGCTCCCCTTCTTTTCCTTCCCTTGTTTGCTCCTCCTCCTTCGCATGCTCCCTTCTTTTACCTATCGCGTCCCCTCTTTGGCCTCCGATTGTTTTCTTCTTTCCTCTCCTCTTCTATTCCTTTCTTCCCTTGCATTAAATTTGTTTCTATTGAGGTACCACAAAAATACTTCTCCCCCTTGGAGTGGACACTTTACACCTGTGTTCATTTTTTCCCAGAGTTTTTTTACTCCATTCCATTGGCCTATTATGTCTGTTTTGCCCACGGCTATTCTGTTTGTGTTTATGGCAATGCAATCTTTTTTTGACTTGCCTCTATTTTTTTTGACTGGGATAAGTTCCTTCTATTCCATCGTTTTGTGGGAGCCAGATTCTTCAGTGTTTTCCCTTTTTTGTTGTATCCCCTTTGCGCAATGCTCAGGACACCTTCTCTAAGAGTCCTTGCCCTATACTGATGCAGTTGCTGCTAAACCAACGGTTATATGATCTACATCCCTTGAGTATAGGAGATCCTTAGCCATTTACCTCTTGTAGACGTTAAGATTTTTGGGACCTCCATTTCACATACCCCCTTCTAATGCTGTTTCTCAAGCACTTTTCAATTCTTTTGAGTGTCTTTTGGACCAACAATAAGTACTATCCTTGTCGCACTCCTTACCGATATGTCCCTTGTAATGGGGGGTGCTCGCATTGACCGCGGATGGCATCGCGAATGTCAGCAAAATTGTAGAAATGTCACCAGCACACCAATCCTTTTAAGATAGCAAAAGCTTCATTTATTGAAGTTTTTTGTCATATGACCAAAAACTTCAATAAATGAAGCTTTTGCTATCTTAAAAGGATTGGTGTGCTGGTGACATTTCTACAATTTTTTTGGACCAACAAGTCCCACTAACTATCATATACCAATCAGCGTGGGAATGATCCCCTTTTCTTTTCCTCCTCTTCTAATGGATGTGTCCACTTCCTTACTGCTTGAGTCTGGTTCCATGGAATATGTATTTTCTCAAGTTGTTGAAGGACCTTTATGTTGGTCAGTTATAACTCTGACCTCTGCTGAACTTTATCTGGAGTTTTCAACTTCTCCACTTCTGGAAAAATGAAAAATTCCCCTCTGACGTAGTAACTAACACCTTACCTAACTGTGTTGGGTACGACATATGTGTCCCCACTGTTTTCTTCCTACACTTAAAATATTGTTTGCAGATCCCTTCATCTGATAAAGTATGCATCTTAATAAGATATCCGCAAGCAGGATACTCTGTGTTACCCCACTGCATAGTTCCGCTTAGTGAGATAGGTCCCACAAAAGCCCCCCAAGACTTACACTATCTATGGAGGATAGAGCCTCTTCCTACTCTTTTTAGATTATTCCTAGTGGATTAGTACCCCTAGCACCTCTGCAGGGGATCCTACCCTTTACAGGGTTTAGTTTACTGATTTCTAGAATCATTTGTTAAATGACTGACCAGGTAGTTTTTTGTGTAACTATCACATCCTTCAAACACCTTTTGGGTATCAGTTGGAAGAACAGTGACTGCTCTTTTATACATGAACCTCCCTACAGGTGAAACTCGAATAATTAGAATATTGTGTAAAAGTAATTGCAGTAAGTGCTGCAAAAGGGGCCCAAACCAAGTACTGAGTACATATCCATGCTTGTACTTTTCAGAGGTCCGATATTGTTCTATGTACAATCCTTGTTTTATTGATTGCATGTAATAATCTACTTTTTTGAGGTTGTGGATTTGGGGTTCTTGGGGTTTTCATGAGCTGTAAGCCATAATCATCACAATTATGACAAATCACGGCTTGAATTATCCTGCTTTGCATGTAATGAGTCTATCTCATATATTAGTTTCACCTTTTAAGTTGCATTAGTGAAATAAATGAACTTTGCACGATATTCTAATTATTCGAGTTTCACCTGTATATGGAGACAAGGTGCAGGAGTTGTTTTGTGAAGGATTACTGCACAGATCTGGGAGAAATGCACAACGACGCCAAGATTTAATTAAGAATACGCATGGCTCTTGTATTTTTGTAACTTGTTTAGCCTGAAGTTCAGCCTTAAAGCAAAACGCTACCAACGTTTAGTTGTAGGTGGTATTGGAAATGGGCATTTGTTTAACTTTTTAAATGATACTTAACTTGGAGCCTAAGTGTGAAGTCCTGTAACTGTAAAGTTGTTTAAAAGGGGTAGCCTATTATAAAATTTGGATGGAGCCGAAGGGAAGAATCACAATTTTGGATTTAAATACCAGAGTAGGAAAGGTAAGTTTGATTTAAATATAGTTTAATCTGAAATGTGCTTCTTGGGGGGGGGGGAGGAGTTTTGGGTGGTTGTCTCTTGCACTGTTTGCTTTTATGCAGTAAATAATTATAATAAAGATTGCCACATTTATTTTGCTTATGAACATTTTATTGTGGCTTTCCTAACTCATCCATTTATTGTGCTTTCCCTTCAGATGTCATCTGGGTTATTCTGAGCGTGGAAGCTGGCGGCCTCTTGGGTGTTACCCAACAGCTCTCTTCTTTTGACACGGAGTTCAACACTCAACCTCATCGCAATGTAAGTGGTGACTACAACCCTTTCGCCTCACCGCAGAAGAATCGTTCCCCAGAAGGGGAGAACATGGGCACCTGGCCTGAAACAGAGACTTCTGAAAGAGAACAGAATGGACTATCTCAGACCTCTGTAAATATATGTGCAACGGATTGTCCAGCAAGCCGTTCTGTAGCAACGTATAGAGAGGTGAGGTGCTCTGGTTTGCCACTGGAAAAAAAACATTTAGAGGAAGAGACTGAAAAGGTATATAGGAAATAAATAATATACTGACATTTGACAGTATGAGTGCCATTGTTTCACTGTAGGCAAGAATAGTTTAAAGTGCAACTCCAGCTACCTTTTTTTTGTAGGATAACATTAGAACTCTTGTTCAAACTGCTGTCCAGGGCTCCTTAGAGAGATTGCTGCTCACCTGTCAGATTGACAACAGATTCACCAGACAAGTGAATAATATATAACAGGAAGACAAATGAAAATAAAAGGCTGACGGGTTACCGTACTCAAAAAGAAATAAAAAAACATTTGTTTTTCGTTATTTCTGTCAGTGTAAACTTTTTTCCCCTGTCTGTCTGGTAAAACTGTTGTCACCGAAACAGCAAGTGAGGGGAAATCTCAGAGAGCCCTGGATAGCGGTAAGACCAGAGTTTTAATCCTTCCCTATTATATCCAAAACAAAAAGAATTTTGGCTGATCCTAAACTTTATTCTTAGACAAAAAATTGTGGCAGTTATATTTTGCATAGTATATTATCATTTAGTAGAAACTTTTTCTTAATTTGCCTGATATGCTTCCAGGAGCCCACACATAACGAGCCCAAAACACATTTCTCCTCGCACAGTGCCTGTGGTGGTACGTCTTAGTCTGGGCAGAACAGCGTGGCTAGGTGGTGGGCTGATGACTAGACGTGTGTCTCACGCTGCTAACTAAACAAATTTGGCAACTGCACAAATCAGTTTATAACTAGCTTTCAAAGTAAGGTGCACATGGCAGGGTTTTCCACAGTACAAACACAAAAATTTACCAGCTAGCCTCTAAAACAGCTTTTGCAAAATATGTGGAAGCCACCATGTCTTGGCAAGGCTCCTCTGTGTAGTGTGGTCCTAACTTTTAATGTATGAGAGCATCCATCATGGAGTATATATAGCTATGGATAAATTGAGTGCAGTTATACCTGGAGGTAACCTATTCCATTTTCTCCTAACAGGCGCTACCTGTTTTTTTGACATCTCAGTTTGCGGTATGTCCACATGTGTAGGACCCTATGGTTGAAGTGTTGGTCAACGGAATGGGCTTGTAGGAAAGCCCTTCTCTGTTTTCCTTTTGTGGTTAACAGACTCCTTGCAGCATGGCTGGACATAGTCATAAACATCACAGGGGTTGCGCCCATCGTCCCCAGGCTTGTATAAGCAAGACTCAGCACTGTAAGAATACAACATCCTTTCCTGCTGTCAAGCAGGGACCCCAAGGACCACTAAAGCATCTTGACCACCCAAGACCACTTTCTCTGCAGGATGCAAAAGGCCTTGGTGGATCAAGATTGCCGAACCAACTGACAAATCTCCGTCAACCTCCGGGTGACTCCACTTTTTTTGTAGAGCACATGTAGCAGATGTGTGAGTGCAGGAAGTTGGTATTTTTAAAAATTAAAGTTTTACTCCTCTCCCCCCTCCCCAGCCTAACACACTTGCACACACTTTTTTTTTCCCGTCAAACCTTCTTATCTAGCCCCAGTAGTTGACAGACCTTCACCTGGCAATTCAGGGACTACGAACACAGAGTATAATGACCTTAGGCTGCCAGGATTTTCTTACCTCAGGCAAGCGAACTTTCTTATTTGACAACAACGTAATTCCACAGAGTGGTCTCTCTATCTGGAGGAGTTCCAGGAACTCACTCTCTGTTGGGGGTTGCCACATGTGGACCTAATTAAGTCCTTCTTTAACAAGGAACCTAAAAGGTTGGTAGCCAGATCCTTGGATCTGTTGACAAAGATAGGGGATGCTGTGCTGACATCGGGGGATCAATATTTACCCATCTACGCATTTCTTCCTCTTAAAGTTGTTACCTCAGTTGCTTTGGGGGATTAAGGTAGAGGGCATTCTGGTGATTCTAATTGCTCCGGATTGGCCTAGAAGGGCTTGTTACACAGACTAATTTCATCTGCTCACAAATGCATCAGCACTACTTGGAAACACACCAGTAGCTGTGCGTTGTAGTGGTGGACGGCAGTATGTACACAGACTGAGTGACTATTCTGTCCAGACTGCAATTCGGACCTCTGCTCAATTAAAATTTTACTCACCAGACCTCCTTGAATTTTAATTCACTATCCCTGCTCTACAGTTTGCAGATTCCTTTCTTGTTATTATAGAGGGTTCCAAAAACCTCTGGTCTACAACAAGTTATCAGGGCCAGTGCTCAGGAGACCAACTGATTCTGCAAGAAACTCAAACTTTTAAGCATCAATTAGCTTACATTTTAAGTGATTTAATCAGCACTTGGAATAGCTTAAAAACATTTTGTCTTTAATATCATTTTAAGGCATATAAGTTGAAGCATAGGAGGGATTCCCTTTTTCTGTCAACATTCATTTCACTAGGACAGCAAGTGCTGCTTTCCCCATCAGGCATCTGTGTCAAGTTTGCAAGGCTGCGACTTGGGCTTTATGTACTTACCATAAAATCAGTTGAAGGACACAGCTTCCTCACCTCATGTGTAGTTATTTCCATTGTTTTTGTACCGCTTGAGCAACTGAGCAGTGTAGAAAAGGGGGTTGGACTTCAGTTTTGTGCCTAGCTTCCAATCCTCCCTGTAGGCAACAGTATAATCCACAGTTCAAGTATATGAATGTCGTGTCCATCAATGAACTCCAAGGAAGAAGTACAAAAATCCCCCTTTTTTTTTTGTCCCAGCAAATTGTCATTCACATAAAAGCCAGCAGGAACAAAACTGCAACATATTGCAGGAAAAGGGAATGCAAAGGAAAGAAAACATAAAGCTAATATTTAGTTTCCTTTCTAATTTTCATATATTTTATTTATATTTTGCAGATTGATTGTACTTTACTTTAATCCAAACACTGATACCCAAGAGCATCAACAACCTTAAAGTATATTTCCACTTTTGCAGCCAAATTGGGATCTATTTTATATGTGTTGCATGTTCCCATTCACATAGCACAAGCTAAAAAAAAAATGTATAAAATGCTTTTCTTGTATTTTTTATTTTTTATACAATCTTTATCATTATAGAGAATATAAACATTAGGAGTAGAAAAGGCAGATATACAAAAACATTTTACCAAGAATGGGCACCCTCAAATATATACATAAAAACACTGGAAAGACGAGGTGCATGCGTAAGAGTAGTGCAATGCAATCAGGACAAACATTAGAATCAGAAGAGAACCGAAAAACAAACAAGAAAAGGAAGCGAGAGAAAAAAAAAAACCCTGAGTCAATCAAGAGAAATAAATAAGGAAGCTGACTGAATGGGAAGAGGACAACTATGTCAACCTGCTGGAAAATAAAGATTAAGGTATTGGTAGCAATGTCGAGCATGGTAGCACCATTAAAGGGAGGGAGCCCCCTCGGTCCAGGATAAAGCCCCACCTTTCAGATCTGCGTACTGTCTTATCTAATCCTGCAAGTCAGGAGAAAAGTAATGATTTCAAGTGGCCCAGATGTTATAGAATTTCTCAAATTTACCTTTTACAATTTGCAATCCATTGCTCAGAACCCATAATATCAGAAACCTGGCGGATCCACTCCGCTCTGGAGGTGACCGTGGGGCTTCTCCCAATACCTTGGGATTAACCGTTGCGCCACATTAAAGAGGTGTGGTAGGGATGTGGTTTCATATTTAGCCGTGGAAAAGGGCAGATAATGAAGAAAAAAAACAGAAGGAGTAAACTGGAGATTCATGCCAAGAATAAGCTGTATTTGTTCTCGTATGTCTTGCCAAAACGACTTAAAGCAGACCTGTACGCTCTAAAATCTAATTCTACCAATGCATCCCTCTATGTATGATGATTAAAAATAACAGACGTGTTGGATTTAAAATGCTGTGATTTTTAAAATACTTACACTTGCAAAGCATTCAATACCTGCTTTGAAAGGGCAAAAAGACTTCAGTTTGCCAAAGCATTGCACACTGGGTATTGCCTTGTCATCAGCAGAGCATTGCTGGGAAATCTCATCTGTATTCTCATTAGATCTCAGGGAAAGGCATTTTCCTCCCCTGAGATGATGTGCATGGTCACCAATGGTCGTCAATGCTAAAGCCTGATGAAGGGACCCTGTGCGGTCCCAAAAGCGCTTGTTTGGTCATATGACAAAAAACTTCAATAAATGAAGCTTTTGCTATCTTAAAAGGACTGGTGTGCTGGTGACATTTCTACAATATTGCTGACATTCGCGGCGCCATCCGCAGTCACTGCGAGTACCCCCCACTACAAGGGACATATCGGTAAGGAGTGCGACAAGGATAGTACTTATGGTCACATGTCTAGTCACATGTGCCAGAAATCCAGGAAGTAAAGGGAGAGCTAGTAATCTGCCCTCAGTAAACATGGCCCCAGCCAGAAGACTGGGGAAGAAAAGAGAGATAAGGTATGCAAGGAATACAAAGCCGGCAATTATCTAGAAGTATGTGTTTGTAGATTGTCCTTACTAAACATTTCTAAAGGTGTGCTTGTTGTTCTTTTAAAGATATGGGCAAAGGTCCACTTTAAGCTTTAGACAGTCCCACCGGACATGTAAGTGCGTGCCAGGTAACCCATTAGTTCCCCCAACAAAAAGAGGTAGCGTTTTGGTATATTTTATCACTGGGTGAGCACCTTGTAATTAGTTTCCTGGGATCTGGTATCTATTGAGGAGGTTTGAGCGAGCGTGAGAATTTGGTAAGTGAAAGTCACGTTCCCACGCCCCAATAAAGTATAAACAGCACGTTGAGCCCATTTGCAGCAGTAGTTTATACATAAGGGAAAGAGTCTGACTGGGAGGAGACTTAGAATTGCACAATTGCTCAAAAGGAATGAGTCAGTGGTTTTGAAGGCCTGATGGAGGAAGCATGTAGCCGAAGAAAGTGACTAAGTTGCGAGTATCTCCAGGAGTCGAAAGGAAAGGTACCCCACCTATCCCTCATAACGTCTAACGGGGCAAGGGAATTTCCAGACATAAATTTAC